AACAAGGGACACAAAAGACCACGGCCATCCGACAGGAGTGCAACAATCACTCACAACTTTGTGAAAAGCACTTTGTCCGTACAAACAAATGTAACCAATGACCGGCACTGCGAGGTACTCGCCAGCACAGCCCCTGTCATCATGATGAGCACAATAGAAGAACCAGAAAACAGCGAAAAAATCAACTTCTTACCCAATCCCTGGCCTCAATCTGGGCGCCTTTGCCAATGAGGGCCTCTATTGCTGCAACATGACCTTCCTCTGCTGCCAGCAGCAAGGGAGTGCGTTCGCCCTGCAACATCCACACAGGGCACCCCAGTAAAGAACACATAGGTGAAGCAATGCATACCCCAATGTGCATATCGATGCACCCAAAACATCCAAGATAACAAGGGCCACAAAAGACCACGGCCATCCGACAGGAGTGCAACAATCACTCACAACTTTGTGAAAAGCACTTGGTCCGTACAAACAAATGTAACCAATGACTGGCACTGCGAGGTACTCGCCAGCACAGCCCCTGTCATCATTATTATGACCACAAAAGAAGAACCAGAAAACAGCGAAAAAATCAACCTCTTACCCGATCCCTGGCCTCAATCTGTGCGCCTTTGTCAATGAGGGCCCCTATTGCTGCAACATGACCTCCCTCTGCTGCCAGCAGCAAGGGAGTGCATTCGCCCTACAACATCCACACAGGGCACCCCAGTAAAGAACACATAGGTGAAGCAATGCATGCCCCAATGCGCATATCGATGCACCCAAAATATCCAATATAACAAGGGCCACAATAGACCACAGCCATCCGACAGGAGTGCAACAATCACTCACAACTTTGTGAAAAGCACTTTGTCCATACAAACAAATGTAACCAATGACCGGCACTGCGAGGTACTCGCCAGCACAGTCCCTCTCATCATGATGAGCACAATAGAAGAACCAGGCAACAGCGAAAAAATCAACTTCTCAACTTCTTACCCAACCCCTGGCCTCAATCTGGGTGCCATTGCCAATGAGGGCCTCTATTGCTGCAACATGACCTCCCTGTGCTGCCAGCAGCAAGGGAGTACATGTGCACTGCGACATCCACTCAGGGCACCCCAATAAAGAACACATAGGTGAAGCAACACATAGGTGAAGCAATGCATGCCCCAATGTGCATATCGATGCACCCAAAATATCCAAGATAACAAGAGCCACAAAAGACCACGGCCATCCAACAGGAGTGCAACATTCACTCGGAACTTTGTGAGCAGCACCTTGCCTGTGCAAACAAAATGTAACCAAAGTACCGGCACTGCAAGGTATTCGCCAGCACAGCCCCTGTCATCATGTTAAGCACAATAGAAGAACCAGAAAACAGGGACACAACCAACTTCTTACCCAATCCCTGGCCTCAATCTGTGCGCCTTTGCCAATGAGGGCCTCTATTGCTGCAACATGACCTCTCTCTGCTGCCAGCAGCAAGGGAGTGCGTTCGGCCTGCAACATCCACACAGGGCACCCCAGTAAAGAACACATAGGTGAAGCAATGCATACCCCAATGTGCATATCGATGCACCCAAAACATCCAAGATACCAAGGGACACAAAAGACCACGGCCATCCGACAGGAGTGCAACAATCACTCACAACTTTGTGAAAAGCACTTTGTCCGTACAAACAAAAGTAACCAATGACCGGCACTGCGAGGTACATGCCAGCACAGTCCCTGTTATCATGATGAGCACAATAGAAGAACCAGAAAACAGTGAAAAAATCAACTTCTTACCCAACCCCTGGCCTCAATCTGGGCGCCATTGCCAATGAGGGCCTCTATTGCTGCAACATGATCTCCCTGTGCTGCCAGCAGCAAGGGAGTACATGTGCATTGCGACATCCACTCAGGGCACCCCAGTAAAGAACACATAGGTGAAGCAACACATAGGTGAAGCAATGCATGCCCCAATGTGCATATCGATGCACCCAAAATATCCAAGATAACAAGAGCCACAAAAGACCACGGCCATCCGACAGGAGTGCAACATTCACTCGGAACTTTGTGAGCAGCACCTTGCCTGTGCAAACAAAATGTAACCAAAGAACCGGCACTGCAAGGTACTCGCCAGCACAGCCCCTGTCATCATGTTGAGCACAATAGAAGAACCAGAAAACAGGGACACAACCAACTTCTTACCAAATTCCTGGCCTCAATCTGGGCGCCTTTGCCAATGAGGGCCTCTATTGCTGCAACATGACCTCCCTGTGCTGCCAGCAGCAAGGGAGTACGTTTGCGCTGCAACATCCACACAGGGCACCCCAGTAAAGAACACATAGGTGAAGCAATGCATACCCCAATGTGCATATCGATGCAACCAAAACATCCAAGATAACAAGGGCCACAAAAGACCACGGCCATCCGACAGGAGTGCAACAATCACTCACAACTTTGTGAAAAGCACTTTGTCCGTACAAATGTAACCAATGACCGGCACTGCGAGGTACTCGCCAGCACAGTCCCTGTCATCATGATGAGCACAATAGAAGAACCAGAAAACAGCGAAAAAATCAACTTCTTACCCAACCCCTGGCCTCAATCTGGGCGCCATTGCCAATGAGGGCCTCTATTGCTGCAACATGACTCCCTGTGCTGCCAGCAGCAAGGGAGTACATGTGCACTGCGACATCCACTCAGGGCACCCCAGTAAAGAACACATAGGTGAAGCAATGCATGCCCCAATGTGCATATCGATGCACCCAAAATATCCAAGATAACAAGAGCCACAAAAGACCACGGCCATCCGACAGGAGTGCAACATTCACTCGGAACTTTGTGAGGAGCACCTTGCCTGTGCAAACAAAATGTAACCAAAGAACCGGCACTGCAAGGTATTCGCCAGCACAGCCCCTGTCATCGTGTTGAGCACAATAGAAGAACCAGAAAACAGGGACACAACCAACTTCTTACCCAATCCCTGGCCTCAATCTGTGCGGCTTTGCCAGTGAGGGCCTCTATTGCTGCAACATGACCTTCCTCTGCTGCCAGCAGCAAGGGAGTGCGTTCACCCTGCAACATCCACACAGGGCACCCCAGTAAAGAACACATAGGTGAAGCAATGCATGCCCCAATGCGCATATCGATGCACCCAAAATATCCAAGATAACAAGGGCCACAAAAGCCCGAGGCCGTCCGACACGAGTGCAACAATCACTCACAACTTTGTGAAAAGCACCTTGTCTGTGCAAATAAATGTAACCAATGACTGGCACTGCGAGGTACTCGCCAGCACAGCCCCTGCCATCAGTATGACCACAATAGAAGAACCAGAAAACAGCAAAAAAATTCAACTCTTTACCACGTCCCTGGCCTCAATCTGTGCGCCATTGCCAATGAGGGCCCCTATTGCTGCAACATGACCTCCCTGTGCTGCCAGCAGCAAGGGAGTGCATTTGCCCTGCAACAATCACACAGGGCACCCCAGTAAAGAACACATAGGTGAAGCAACACATAGGTGAAGCAACACGTAGGTGAAGCAACACATAGGTGAAGCAATGCATGCCCCAATGTGCATATCGATGCAACCAAAATATCCAAGATAACAAGAGCCACAAAAGACCACGGCCATCCGACAGGAGTGCAACATTCACTCGGAACTTTGTGAGCAGCACCTTGCCTGTGCAAACAAAATGTAACCAAAGAACCGGCACTGCAAGGTATTCGCCAGCACAGCCCCTGTCATCGTGTTGAGCACAATAGAAGAACCAGAAAACAGGGACACAACCAACTTCTTACCAAATTCCTGGCCTCAATCTGTGCGCCTTTGCCAATGAGGGCCTCTATTGCTGCAACATGACCTTCCTGTGCTGCCAGCAGCAAGGGAGTGCATTCGCCCTACAACATCCACACAGGGCACCCCAGTAAAGAACACATAGGTGAAGCAATGCATGCCCCAATGCGCATATCGATGCACCCAAAATATCCAATATAACAAGGGCCACAATAGACCACAGCCATCCGACAGGAGTGCAACAATCACTCACAACTTTGTGAAAAGCACTTTGTCCGTACAAACAAATGTAACCAATGACCGGCACTGCGAGGTACTCGCCAGCACAGTCCCTGTCATCATGATGAGCACAATAGAAGAACCAGAAAACAGCGAAAAAATCAACTTCCTACCCAACCCCTGGCCTCAATCTGGGCGCCATTGCCAATGAGGGCCTCTATTGCTGCAACATGACCTCCCTGTGCTGCCAGCAGCAAGGGAGTACATGTGCACTGCGACATCCACTCAGGGCACCCCAGTAAAGAACACATAGGTGAAGCAACACATAGGTGAAGCAATGCATGCCCCAATGTATATATCGATGCACCCAAAATATCCAAGATAACAAGAGCCACAGAAGACCACGGCCATCCGACAGGAGTGCAACATTCACTCGGAACTTTGTGAGCAGCACCTTGCCTGTGCAAACAAAATGTAACCAAAGAACCGGCACTGCAAGGTATTCGCCAGCACAGCCCCTGTCATCATGTTGAGCACAATAGAAGAACCAGAAAACAGGGACACAACCAATTTCTTACCCAATCCCTGGCCTCAATCTGTGCGCCTTTGTCAATGAGGGCCCCTATTGCTGCAACATGACCTCCCTGTGCTGCCAGCAGCAAGGGAGTGCATTCGCCCTACAACATCCACACAGGGCACCCCAGTAAAGAACACATAGGTGAAGCAACACATAGGTGAAGCAACACGTAGGTGAAGCAACACATAGGTGAAGCAATGCATGCCCCAATGTGCATATCGATGCACCCAAAATATCCAAGATAACAAGAGCCACAGAAGACCACGGCCATCCGACAGGAGTGCAACATTCACTCGGAACTTTGTGAGCAGCACCTTGCCTGTGCAAACAAAATGTAACCAAAGAACCGGCACTGCAAGGTATTCGCCAGCACAGCCCCTGTCATCATGTTGAGCACAATAGAAGAACCAGAAAACAGGGACACAACCAATTTCTTACCCAATCCCTGGCCTCAATCTGTGCGCCTTTGTCAATGAGGGCCCCTATTGCTGCAACATGACCTCCCTGTGCTGCCAGCAGCAAGGGAGTGCATTCGCCCTACAACATCCACACAGGGCACCCCAGTAAAGAACACATAGGTGAAGCAATGCATACCCCAATGTGCATATCGATGCACCCAAAATATCCAATATAACAAGGGCCACAAAAGACCACGGCCATCTGACAGGAGTGCAACAATCACTCACAACTTTGTGAAAAGCACTTTGTCCGTACAAATGTAACCAATGACCGGCACTGCGAGGTACTCGCCAGCACAGTCCCTGTCATCATGATGAGCACAATAGAAGAACCAGAAAACAGTGAAAAAATTCAACTCTTTACCACGTCCCTGGCCTCAATCTGTGCGCCTTTGGCAGTGAGAGCCTCTATTGCTCCAACATGACCTCTCTGTGCTGCCAGCATCAAGGGAGTGCATTTGCCCTGCAACATTCACACAGGGCACCCCAGTAAAGAACACATAGGTGAAGCAATGCATGCCCCAATGTGTATATCGCTGCACCCAAAATATCCAAGACAACAAGGGCCACAAAAGCCCGAGGCCATCCGACAGGAGTGCAACAATCACTCAGAACTTTGTGAACAGCACCTTGTCTGTACAAACAAATGTAGCCAATGACCGGCACTGCGAGGTACTCGCCAGCACAGCACCTGTCATCCTGATGAGCACAATAGAAGAACCAGAAAACAGGGACACAATCAACTTCTTACCAAGGTCCTGGCCTCAATCTGTGCGCCTTTACCAATGAGGGCCTCTATTGCTGCAACATGACCTCCCTGTGCTGCCAGCAGCAAGGGAGTGCATTCGTCCTACAACATCCACACAGGGCACCCCAGTAAAGAACACATAGGAGAAGCAGCGCATACCCCAATGTGCATATCGATGCACCCAAAATATCCAAGATAACAAGGGGCACAAAAGACCATGGCCATCCGACAGGAGTGCAACATCCAGACAGAACTTTGTCAACAGCACTTTGTCTGTACAAAGAAATGTAACCAAAGACTGGCACTGCAAGTTACTTGTCAGCACAGCCCCTGTCATCGTGATGACCAGAACAAAAGAACCAGAAAACATGGTAAAATCAACTTCTTACCAATGCCCTGGCCTCAATCTGGGCGCCTTTGCCAATGAGGGCCTCTATTGCTGCAACATGACCTCTCTGTGCTGCCAGCAGCAAGGGAGTACGCCCATGCTGCAGCACACAGCAAGCCGGGCCAAGTCAAGTCACGAGCAGCAAAAACACATGAAATCTACTGCAATGCACAATGGGTCAACACCAATCTTGGCACTGGGATTAGAGGCACATTGAACCGGAGTAGGGATGGTACCCAGCGCTGAAAACTGTATTCAGGTACCCAGACTGTCTGACAAGTGAATAATCAGCAGCACCCAGGTAACCCAGGTATTTCCATTTCCTGGGTTTTTAATTTAATTAGGGACACCCGGGTACTGACATTGCCCAGGTCCAGGTACATACATAGGTATGGAAAAGCCCGCGCAAGTGCCAACTACCAAGCGCTGGCTGGCCAGGCAACGTCAGGACTGGCTGGAGGTATTTGACAGAGTTGGCAATGCCGACTCTGCACCTCGGCTGACTTTCATTTAGGTGGACCGGACGTCTGGAAGGCATCGGAAATATCTGGCAAGGGCAGGGCACCATCAGCTCAATGATCGCCCTAACAATCCAGAGTTGAGGATGCACAAAATGCCCCAGAAAGCAGCATCCACAGTGACAGGAAACAAGAGCAGCCGTGAAACAGCCACAGCAACAAATACCACAAAGGATACAATTACACCTTGTTGCTGACAAGCAACCACAAATAGCCACAACCACAGTACAGATGAATCGTAGAACAGCCACTGAACGGCAGAGATAGAACAACCACAACAACAACAAGAGAAACAAGCACAGCCACTGTTAGGTGTTGGGGTTGCTATCATGCACACACCAAACGTTCACTGTGAAACGGGCCACATGTACTGCCTGCCCCAAGGGGCACCTCTGTGGCGTCAGCCACTTCACTGCCTGCCAACGACCATGCCACACCATGTTCGCAGTTCAACCTTGTTGGATCCTCTGACTCCAGCTCACTGGCTCCCTGGATGCTACCCAAATGTGCGGCCCACGGAAAAGAGCGTGATGAGAATAATCGTAGGCACACCCACACCAAGCGCAGAGGCGATTACCTTCCCAGAAGTGCGCAAAGCCAATGCACATTGTGGGGTGACTGCTGGTCAAAACTTTTGCAGTACCTAGGTCTGTACCCAGACCCAAGTACTGGCATTGCCTGAATTATCCGGGTACCCGCCTGTACCTGCCTATACACTAGTGCATGCCCAGATCCGCCAACCCAGGTACAGGGTTTGGTGGGCACCAGGGTAGGCGGGTACAAAGAAAACCGATACCCACATTGGGTACCTGGATACCGCAATCTCTAAACTGGAACCTTTTGTTCGTTCACGTCCTTGCAGGAAAAATGAGGAACTGGCATATCAACAAAAAGCAGTGTCCTGCTACTGACTCCAGGACTGCGAAAGCAAATCCTAGTGGCATTAGCCAAAATAGCTATGCCAGTAGCAGAACACACAGTTTTTGGCATTACCTTATCCTGGACTTCAATCGGTGCACGCCTGTCCAAGAGAGCTTCTATTGCCACAGCATTGCCCCTCTGTGCTGCAAGTGACAAAGGAGCAGTTCCTTCCTGCTATGCAACGAATAGAAGATCATGTCAGAATCGGGTATATTAGCAGTACAGGTGCACCTTGGGTTTCTGTGTGACATGTGTGCAATAGTAATTTTCAATCGTGACAGTAGTGGGGCCAACTGTTCATTTTACTCTGTTGGTGAACAGGCAAAAAGCAGCACAAACTGAGTGTGTAAACCAAGAATGCATAGGAAAATTAGGAACAGTGCTGTCATACACCACAACACATGTTCAGTCTCCACATGTCATTTCTTTTGAGTGCTTTGAAGGGGTGCGTTCTTCCGCATTTGGTCAGCCAGCATCGTACAATTATGTCATGCTGTCCTACTCTTGGGGAGGTCTCAGACGCAGGAACACATTCTAGGAGGGATACATGTGCAGGCTGTGCTGCTTTGACATGAATGTCAGGTATCACTGGCACTGCTTCTGTTCCAGAATATCCTTTTCCGCATTTGACCGGGGGAGCATCATTTCCATATTTTCTGCAGTTTCCTACACGAAAGGGCTTGGCATCGCATTGTTTGTGGAATGCTGAAAGTATTACCACAGCATCAGGCGCAGGGCCAACAGCCAGAGAAGAAAGCAGCTGCTGGTATTCTGCTGCTGCTCCCTAAATCACAAAAAATGCAGCTGCCCGGTGCTCCAACCAGACCGTCTACCAAGCTAGCAGACATGGCAAGCCCCAGATCCCTGCCATAGCCTCACTCCCCAAATTTGTATTGCCAACCTATTGAACTTGGAGAAAGTGTCACTGCATGCCAAGTTCCAATATTCAGCCAATCCTCACATATTTCTCACCCACACATTCGAAGCTTATGTTCAAGGCAACCCATATTTGTCCACAAATGTTACTTCGACTTGAGCCTGTGTACAGCAACACTTCGTTGAAAGCCGTTCTGGCAGCTGTCACAACATCTGCTTCCTATGGCAGTAATAGGGCACTAAGGATCACAAGACAGGCAAAATATGGACATCCAGGAGCAAAAGATCTTCACAGCAAGGCACCTGCTCTGCATACCTTGCAAGTCGATGGCAAATTATTCCAAATTGGCACTAGCCCCTGCGTGAGAACATAGACAGATAGTGCTGGTCATCTGGCTCCCATCCACAGGCCGCAAAGGGTACACGCGTGACCGATGTGTATGTGCTGGTGCACAAATGTTTGAGACATAAGCATTAAGCTTGACATGGACAGGACGCCAACGCAGCATCGTTTTTCTCGTGAGCTGATGCCACTCCTTGTGGTGCTGCCTGTACAGTATAGTGTAGTGCAATAGGGTGCAGTACATTACTGCCGTATTGCCGGGACACTTCTTTACTTCACACTATGGCACAATTTCCATCATCAACAAGCACAGACGCGTAGCCCACCACTTGCCGGAACACATTACCTGCTCAGGTCGACTAGGGTACCATTGCCTAAGACAGCCATCCACAGCTCGAATGCAAGGCCTTTCCCGGGGATCAGAGGAACAGCACCGTTGGATCATATCCAGAACCTCCTTAGGCCACTGCCGGCCGACATCCTTGGGAACAAGGAGCTGCTCCTTTCCTTTCATTTTCGCATTCATCACATCGAGCTCAGAGCTGCTCTTCACAAAGGGCACATCTTCCATTATGAGCTCATATGCAACACACCCAAAGCCATAAACATCAGAATTGAAGCTCAGAGCTTGGTGTTGGTAAAGCTCGTTGGCCATCCAGCGTCCCGTAGCCTGAGAAGGGATGCAATCTTTGTGCCAGCACTCGACCATTAGTGGCATGTCGGCAATCTTGACAACTGGATCTTGCAAATTGTGACCAAACAGCAGAAAATTGCTGCTCTTAACGTTTCCATATATCCTGCCCCAGGCATGCACGGAATGCAGGGCTCTTGCTGCTTGGGCCAATACCCTGAGCTTCAGGGCAACCTTGTCTTCGATTGCATGTGATGCAAGGGACAAGTACCATTCCTGAAGGTTGCATGCTGCCAGGTCCATCAGTACGGCTCCTGATCTTGTCACTCCATGCAGTTTGATACAATGTTGGGCATCCAAGCAACTGTGGCAAGCATCTGTGTGCAGTTTTTGAAAATCCTCAATGGGCATGCCCAGCTCCTTAGTCACCACATATTGCTTTGCTGCAAACCTTGACTGGCCCCATCTGACCTTGTACACATTTTCAGCAATTCGGTCATCCCACGTTACTTCATCATCAGGAATCGCGGGCAGTTGCCACTTGTTTTCCTGGAAAGAGTGCTTCACTGATCCCCATATTTGCTGTTCTTGAGTACCAAGCTTATCAAATGGCCATGAGCATTCCTCGAACATGTATCCCAGCAGCTTTTCCAGAGTTTGCCGATCATTTTGCAAGTGTTCTGGTGGCACAATGTGCTGCTCAGATTTTGAGTCACTTGGTAGGCCCCATTTGTGCACAAATGACCTGATAGCTTTCAACCCATGTTCCACAGCACCACATGTGTCAGCAGTCCTCACAAATGCTGCATCGTCAAGGGTACTGTGCCTCTGGACCAACCGCAGCAAATCCTTCATTTCATAGAGCAAGGCTGTCAAGTCACCCCTCCATTCATCTTTGGCTGCACTGTTTGGCATCCTTAGAGGGTTCTGGACCTGGCAACGGATTCTGCTCTGCAGAAAATGCATAATTTCACGGCCATAATGAAATCCCCCCACATCGGTTATTGCTGCCCATACCTCCTGCAGTTGATTCTCCAACTCTGACACCTGGACAGTTACGACCAGTGTCACATATCCACTGGAAGAACAAAAATTACAATGACTGCAACAGCCTTCCTCTCACAGGCAGGCTTATGCAACAGCCCAAAGCTGGATAACAGCCCTCACTGTGTTGTGCACCACATGAGCCAAATATCACAATTTTCTCTGTGGCAGATTCTGCATGATCCCAATCCATCCCAAGCTGCTGAGAGGCCCTCCCTTGGATATAGCCCAGCCTCCCAGTACACTTACTTTCAGGCTGACTGAGCTCCGACACAACAGCAAAGCAAAGCACCTTGCCATCTATAGCACGCAGCTGCATGCCCCTACAAGACAAAAGGAACGGTAGCAGATCACGTGCCTGTGCATCGATGGTGCAGATTTCGTGAACCATCTTCATTTCAGGTCCATGCTGGTAGAACAACAACTCCTCCCCAATCTGCTCGCCACTCTGCTCCATATGCTCCTTGAACCAACCGGCAGCACAGGTGCTAGGGAAGTCCACCTGCAATAAACATCATTGACAAATCACTATCACATCTCAATAATGCACAAGTTACTGCCGAGTTGTGGCAGACATGCACACACCACTTCAATAACTCCAGTGTTGAAATGGATGCAGTGCTTTCAGAAGCATTGTACACTGCAAGCAAACAAATCCAGCTAATTGGAATTGTTTGGGCCTTTAGACCTTGGTACAATTGATGCAGCCGCATCGTTTCCCTTGCTTGACTAGCAATGGTAATGGCATGAGGCTCACTCCTAGTGTGCAATAGATCCAAACTGGCCAATTGCTGTCACAGCTGCAAAGAACTCACCTCAATCATGAATACAACAGATCCCCTGCGCAGGTCCTTGAACGAAAGCGATGCACAGAACCCAGTAACCTTAACTGCAGTCTCCAGCAGCACTGCTCGCAATCGAGACCGGAACGAAACCAGCAGTTCTGGATCGACCACCAGCTCATCGAAATTGATGTCTTTGAATCTTGCCTCCCACTTCTGTGACACCATACCCTGTCGTTGACAGCGCCCCTGCGGAAGCACATATGGTAACCTTTGAAATGTGCCAGGAACATTCACAACGATGACACAAAGAAGATGGCGGTGTGAGCTTAACTCCATTTCTGCAACAGCTCATCACAGTGCACATGCCTCCCAAACTGAGACATGTACCATTGTCACACCCGGTTTTGTGAGATTCAGTATATACACTGCATGAAATTCAACACAAGGAACAGCGGGACAAGCCACCTTAGCTGGTGCGCTCATGGTTATGATGCATCGAAATGTCTGCATCATTATAGGTTTCACTCCATCATCCAGAGACAGGAAAAATCTGAGCTCACAAAAAGACACCACCATCCACAATTCTTTGAACAAGCCAGCCATGTCTTAAAAATGGGCCCAACTGAGACCAATGCATTATTGAAGGTTGGGGATTCTAGAGGTCTCTGGAAGCAAACACTGGATGCAGCCACTCAGCACCATCCCCTCGCAGGTGGTTGGGGAAGATGTGCCTGGAGCATCAAAATGTTCTGAAAGGAAATACACACAGGCCAGTATCCACTGCACTGATAACTGTGGTTGTGCCACAAGCAAATCACAAGATTTGGCTATTTACTATCGCTTGCACAGAAGGTAACTATAGCGGCACATTTGCTTGCAGCCCCCTGGGCAGGGGGTCTGTGTGGAAGCGAAGGGCAGTATTTCTTGCACAATGAAGGACAGGAACGACGAGTCCAGGCCTTTTCACTCATGGTCTAGTGATTTCACCTGTGGTGCTGAATGACCCTCACCAGCAGAAGACACCTGCAGTGCACAGAGCAAGCAAAAAATTGTCACCACGCCACAGTGTCAATATTCTGTCAATCCAGAGCACTTCTCACAGTGTGTGCTGCAAGGACACACAAGCAGTCAGTATCATATCATGAGTAAGAGGCGACCCAGAATAGGCGGAGGAATGGTCACAAGCTGCATTTTGCTGGTCCCAAGGATACATTTTGGAAGGAGTAAGCCAGCACCTTTTAGGTCAGCAGCAATAGTTTCCGCTGAGCACAAAACCTTCCTCTGTTGGGGATAACACAAAATTGTGCTCCTTTCAGGATCCAAAACAGCCAATGGGCGCTTACCTCATGCCGCCAGTATTCTGGCAGCTGCTCCAGACACTTCCTGACATCCGCCATAGTGGGCCTGTCTTTCGGATCTACTTTGCAACAGCTCCTCATGAGAAACAACATCTCCTGTGGGCAGTCCTTTCGCCCAACAACGCATGGTTCTTCTCCATCAATTTTCTTCTTCATGAGTACGATATCACGCACTCTGCCGTACGGAGTCCTTCCTGTGACAATTTCGTACATTACAATGCCGAAGCTGAAGACGTCTGACTCCTCCGTTGGGGCTTTGTCCTCATAGATCTCTGGAGCATGCCACCGTGGGGTTCCTCCCCCTTTCCTAATGGTTTTGCTCCTGTTTCCTCGCATTTCGAATGTTTGGCCGAAATCGCTGACTTTCACAAGGAATTCCTCAGGCCGACAACCAAACACGAGGAAATTGGATGGTTTCAAATCTGAGTGCACCAAAACTGGGTTTTGGGAATGCATATAGTCGACTCCGGCTGCTGCCTGCAGCAGGAGATTGCGCTTCAATCGCCAATCAAGCAGCTCATGCTGGCACACCACCTGCAAATCTTTGTCTGCCAGCTCCATCACCAACCACCCGGTGATCGTTGCTGCATGGAGCTTCGCAACATGCTCGTGCATCAAGGACCCTTGTATAACAGCCTCATGGATGAGCTTGACAACCTCTTCAACAGGCACATCACTCTTTGGAACCTTCACCGCCACGGCCTGTTTCTTGGTGCTTTCAGAATCACTAGGCCATTCACCAGCATGCACAATACCCCAACCACCTCTGCCAACTTCGTCTCCCAAACGAATGTCCTTTTCATCCACCATTCTCACCGTTATCACCTGTGCATCATCATGTGCACACTTGATTTTTTGCCATTGTTGGAGCGATTGATCGTCTACATTGCTACAGGCACCTGTCAAAATGTACTTAAGCAGATTGCACAGGTAATCTCTGTCCCTTTGCACTTCGACACTGGAAAGTGTGTCATTAATGTGCACTGTATCTTGCATGCCCCACTCCCACAATACACTTCTCAGCTCTTTACATATTGACCTCACGCCATCGTGCGCAATGTCAACCGTGTAGAAGTCTCGAATGTTGAATGGGGCTGCATGCCTAGCAAGGAGTCTCTGCCCAGTGGCAATTTGCAATTCGAATGATCGGACGGCATCTTCAGCCGCATGTAGCGGCTTCTCCAGATCCTCAACTTTGTTCAGCTGCGCTTGCAAAAAAGCCATCATCATGTGGTTGTACTGGACATCTTGCTGTGCTCCAGCCACCTGTCCACATGACAGCAAGCAAACCTGTGTCACTTCATTTGCACCTCTCAACAAATGGTGATGGGGGATCCAGATCAGCAGTTCACTGCGCAGGCAACAGTGCACAGCGAGTGCAGAAGGGACAGGCACCTTGAAAGGCTTGGGCACTTGCAACAGACCCATCTCTGCACATGCACCTATGGTGGTGGAGAAACACTTGCACCAGCAAACAGGACGTTGCAAAAACAGCGTGCACAGGAGCACATCGCAAGCCAAGGACACATACAGAACAAGTAATTGTGGCGCTGTTCCACCATCTGTTTACATGCGTACATCCTGCACCATGCATGCCTTGCTTGTGTGGTCCAAGTGACAGCCACAAAGTAAGACAACAAAAAATGCTCAGAGTGGAACCCACTACCCAGCAATACATATGAAAGGCGGCCACTACCTGTTGGAACTGGGCAGATGCTGGCTCGTCTGCGTTTGAAGCTCCCCCCTGCATCGCCACATGGATGAGAAGCCACCCCTTCATCAGCATGATCGAGTGATTTTCGACCCTTCCTTCATCATTGGAGCTGGCTTACAAGGTCACATGGACAGTCATTGTTCAGGTTTCCAAAGGCCCTCCTCTTGGGGGCTGGGTCAAGTACAGTGAAGTCAAGGCGTGTAGTGAATGGGCAATACAAATGCGCACTGTCAGCGTCTTCCACTGAGCAGAGTTCCTGTGTGGAGTGTTCGTTCGTCCAGTGACTTTGCAGCTGTGTGGGGGGCGCCACAACGAGGTCCGCAACAGCACGTGACCTCACCCCGTCTTGTTGCGGCATCGTGCGAAGAACTGGCGCCGCTGCCAAGCTCACGAAGAGCGCATGTGGATCCCGTCGATTCCCAGGGCCGTGTGCATGAGGCAACACGCAGTCCTGCGCACAAAAGGATTTAGGGCTTAAGACTCCGCCACACAACAGCCAGCAGCACAGGCGCAGAGCAGCATTCCGGGGGAACACAAGTGCACGCCCAACACGGACGGCCCCGGCACTCCCTTTGTTGGTGCGTATAGTGTCCGGCACTCAGCAACGGGCTCTCGTTTCCAGCCCACCTCCGCTGCGTTGTCGATTCCGCTGTACCCATCGTGATTCCACGTCGCCTCGCTGCCCTCCACGCGACCCTCGAGTCACCAACGGCCAGGCGAACACAATCGATCCCTTGGGGTTCGGTTTCAGCTTCGCTGGCTTCCCGGAAGCGACCCCGCAGGGCTCCCAGTTCTTCGCGCGACGACAAGCGGACAGGACCGCAAGGAACACCCGGAAATTCAAGGCTGGGGACCGGCCTGAGTGGCCAGCGCCATGCGCCCAGGAGTACCTCGGTGCTGCCCAACGCCCCCCCAAGGCTGGTCGACCGGCAGAACCCTGGGGAGATTCAAAAAAGCCCGCCCTTTGTGAATCGACATGAGTCAGGGTGCTTTGGGTGGCTTGACGGCCTTGCTGGTCTTTCTTCTGGACCACGAGTAATACTCGGCGGGAGTGTGGCGGCGTAGCGTGGCGGAGAATCCACAAGGGCATATCCATATGTGCCGGAAGGGTTTTGCTCCATGCCTGACCAGTTGCACCCGTCCTGCGTCAAGCTGTTGTCCTAACAAAATGATGTGAAGGGTCAAGATCAGGAGCATGTGACCGGAAAAGCCCACTAAACCCTGGTGAGCCCAGAAGATAATGCTCTTGCGACCGAGCGAGAAGTTGATTGCGTCTTGTGCAGTGTAGGCGAAGATCGTTTTCTGTTTTCTCACAAGACAGCATGTTGTGCAAATGGGGAATTCCCACATCCTGAGGATGTATTGTCTAGACTGTTTTGCATACCATGGAAGACCATCCTTAAGCATCCAGTGCGTTTGCCACAGCACAAAGTCGCAAAGATAGCAAGCTTGTGGTCAGCAGATAGCTGAGGTTACGATTGGTGGGTTTCTTGGCGACCATTTCGCGACGCATGGGGCAGCTGTAGACATGCTGTAAAGCAGCGTGTGCTGATGCCAAACAAGCATACTGCAACATGCGCTTTGCACCAGTGTCTCCTGCACTCCATTAGCCAGATTCAGAGGGCGTGTGGTCATTCTGGAATGTGTTCTTTGGGTGAATACATTCATTGCTGATGGGCTCCTTTTCATCTCGTGTTTCTCAGCTGATGTGCGGACCTCCACAGTTCCTTTCTGGCGGCTCTGGTAGCACGGTGGATCAGGTCTGCCGCATTTGATGAGCAAGAGATGATGTGGCATGCACACAAGTTGTGGAATGGCTGTGCTCGGTTAAAGTCCCGTTTGTTGATTTGTAATGGTTTCACTGTGGCATACTGGCCTCCAGGCGACAGCACAGCCCAGTTCAGCCATCCCTGACAGGTCCACAGGCTGATTTAAAGGTGTTTCTCTCGTTGAGCCATCCCACTAGCCCCATTAGCATTGACGGTCAAGTCTGCCATTGAGACCACAACTTACGCTGCTAAGCCTGAGGCTGCTTGCTGCTGCATACAGCGCTCCCGGATTGTTGCCGGGTTGCACAAAGAAAAGCTCTTGTTTGGGCGTCGAGGGTGCACGACGAGTTGGAAGCCAAGACCAGGGATCCTGTCTGTGCGGAAAAGTGGGTAACCAACGTGGCTGTGGGCTCGCAGTCCCTCTTCGCCTGACAGATCCAGCAAAACTGATTAAAACAAATCGATACAGTTCCCAGAATCGCGAAAGGTAAAAGAGCAAAATATTTGCACTGCCAGCTAATGCAACTGATGAGGTCCACTGCATCAATCCAGTCGCACTGTTTGTCAGTGCTACCGATCCCCGCCCTACCTCTGGGAGCCACCTTTCCACCTGACGAACCTGGTGGAAATGCAAGGCGTGTGGCAAACTGGAATTTCATTTCGCCACCATGTCTTGAAAGAGAACCATCGGGAGTTCCGCCTGTAATTCTCACAACAGGTCAACATGACTTGAGAGCTTGACTGCCTTGCAATTGGGCAGGGCCAGCCACACCAAAGGGGCTTCTGCTATTGTGTGTTGGCAGGGTACTGCAGAGCAGAGTCTGTTTGGTCGAAAGGATGATCAGTCCAAATTGGTGGGGTGTACGATGGTGCAACGAATGAACATCAAAGCAATGAAGTTTGACCTCCATGGCACAAACCTGATCCCAGACATCTGGGTAACAGCACTGCAGGCAGTGCAACAGACAAGGTACGAACACAACCACACTTGTTGTTGCGCATTTATGACCAGAATCGATACCAGAATGACAAACTGGGGTGTCCAGGAGCGTAAAAAAGGGAACCAGACAGCCATTCAGCCTCCAGCAGCACCAATAGTTCGCTGCCCGGGCACCCCTCCAGGCCACCAACACCAACACAGAGGTCTCCATAGCAACTGCGATGCAATGGCACCTTGCCCTCACAGCACAGCCGCCACAGGCCCCTCCCTGCGGCTTCCCACGAACATGAAGCAACCCAAAATACCCGATCTTAAATACTACTCCTACATGGATCCCCACACCCTAAGTACAACAACACATGCTGGCACCCTTCCCAACACCCCCCTATATCTGCTCCAGTCCGTCTTGTACATTAGCGGGTTTGGCGCCACAGGGTCCACAATCACCTCCCTCCATCTGCACTTGTACATTAGCAGGGTTTTGCATATAGGCTCCCCCCACTTCAAGATTCAAACACAGCAACTCAAAATTTCACAAGCACGCAGACAGTGCATGGCGCAGCATAGGCCCCCGTCAAGGACCCTCTTCCAGCCAGCACCGATTGCCCAAAACTCGCCACCGCCCTTTAGGGCCAATGCACTGCCAGTACTTTGGCAACAGTACACGATCCAAAGTGCATCTGCGCAGTGCTCTGTTGCAGACAGTTCTGACCGTCACAGCAGCCTGCAGCCAGTACCCAACTTGAAGAATCAGGGCACTACCAGGATCGTGCACTTCCAAATGTGGCAGACATGCCACCAGCACAGCACTTCGGCAAATTGGAAAGTTCAGGCTCGCCCAGTACACTGCCAGAGTAAACTCTTTTGGCACACCCCGGCGTTCACTTCAGGGTTCACTTTTCCTCAAGCACCAGTGACAGTCGATAAAGACCAATTTCATGAAGGCTGACAATCTGTGTCCCTCCCGCTTATTCCCACTCTGTGCCATCGCAAACTTCACCAAGTTCCCTCCCTTGCCTAAACAGGGATCGTCCAAGGCGCATCACCTAATTAGTTCCTGCCCTTGGCACGTCTCCCAATCAGTTCCTGCCCTTCGCATCTCCCAGTCAGTTCTTTGGCACTTTACATCTCCCAATCAGGGATCGCCCGAGCGCATCACCTAATTGGTTCCTGCCCTTGGCACGTCTCCCAATCAGTTCCTGCCCTTCGCATCTCCCAGTCAGTTCTTTGGCACTTTGCATCTCTTAACCAGTTCCTGCCTCTGGCATGTCTCCTAATTAGGCCTTGCCTTTGGTGTGCATCCTAATTAGTTCTTGCTGACGGTCTCGCTGCTGCCCGAGCGCGGCAGCTCGCAGCTGTCTGCACACAGCTCGTAGACTGCGTTGAGAAGGCTCAGGCAGTCGCAGTGGTGGGGGTAGGACACCATCAGGAACCAGCCCCCCTGGATGGGGTTCAGCACCCTGCAGAACGCAGCACAGTGTCAGGCAATGTACTGTGGCGATGTATAGCACTAAGTACTGCATAAGGTGCTGCCTTCAAGGTGCAGGTAAAGTAATGCACACAGGATTGCGTTGGGCAGGATGGTAGTCACAGTGATGGGGGCAGGACACCATCAGGAACCTGGCGTGCCTTAAATGGAATTCAGGACCCTTCAGAACGTAGCACCGTGTCAGGCAATGTATTGCGGTGATGTATTGCACCAAGTACTGCATCAGGTGCTGCAGTGAAGGGGCAGGTAAAGTACTGTATACAGTACCGCACAGGGCAGGCTCAGGCAGTCGCAGTGGTGGGGTGGGCCACCACAAGGAACCAGGTGCCCTAAATGGAATTCAGCACCCTGTGGAATGCCAAGGAGCACGGCACCGCATCAGGCATTGTGCTGCGTTGATGTGCTTCCCAAGGTACTGCCCTGGGTATTGCACTCACTGATGTACTGTAAGAAGTACTGTGCTGGGAACTGCAGTGATGTCCTGTGGGAACGTATGCAGCCAAAGATGCATATATTGCAATCTATTTCTTGGTACACACCCAGGACGATTTCATCCACAGCTCCTGCACGAACCTCAGAAGTGTCTATTTTCGTCTGCAAATGCATCAATACATGCCACTTGCTAATCTGAACACTTCTCACTGCAAAGCACAAACAGAAACAGCACATGCCAGCAGCCTTGTGCTTGAGTGGGGAACAAGTATATTGCAACAAACAAGTATGCTGGGTACTGCAGCATCTGCCATCATTTGCAATGTGCAAGGCTTTGTCTGTTGCGTGCAGTTGACAATTCATAATCAAAGAGTCCCCTAAAACTAAACTTTACCTCTTAATTTATTTTGATAAACTCGTCTGAGACTAGACAAAGCATGCGAAGCTAAACTCAAACAACAGGGAAGCCATTTGTAGATCTCAAAATGCAACCCGAAAAGCAAATGACAGCAAGCAAGGTGGCATTTGTTTGCGACTCTTATGTAGCTGACAGAGGCAGGCTGGCAACCTCCAAAGTACTCGAAGTGCAGGAAAACGATAACAATATGAATGAAGAAACTGTCAATAAAGAGTGCTCGCTATGGACATGAACAGGCTTGCCCCAACCAAGCAAGACAGTATTTGAATGACGCCTTGAGAGCCACAGTGCTGCCTCCAAAACACAGTTTTTGCTGACTTCACAAGAACGGCCAACAGCTCGCCAGTCTTGAAAGACTGATAGGCAGCCTTTGGGCTGGATGACAAACAGATTCTCTGAACATTCAGACAGGAAACTAAAGCAGAATAACAATGATACGAAGAACTGCGCTGGCCTTGGGGTGGAAGGCAGTTTGGTTTTTGGAAACGAAATAACAGCGCAAGAGACGCAGATGAGAGCAACAAAGTCTCAACAGTCAACAGCACCGACCTGTGGAACACCATGTACTCCGACTCCGCCAGCACCTTCTGCTCCTCCCGTAGGTTGGCTTTCAGCTTGTCAAGCACGTACGACGTCCTGCACCTGTGGCTGGACCGCGCCAGGAAGTTGGGGAAGCCCAGCCACCTGAGCTTATCCCCGCCGTTTGGCGCGTGGCCCCCCTGGTCGCTCGGCAGCAGCAGGCCGATGGCCTCAAGGTTCAGGTTCTGCCGGTCTGTGTACACCCTCTCCAGCTTCTTTGTCTGCTGCTCCCGCAGGATAAGCGCGTTCTTCTTCTGCTCCGCGGTCAGCACCATCGACCGCGCCGTCTCCAGCCACTTGTCCCGGCTGTGCGGTTGCAGCTGCATCTTGTCCACCCCTGCAGTGATCATCCCCCATATGTCCGGCCCCTCGTGGCGCGCCAGCATCATGCACGCCTCGCACACCGCCTCCACCTTGCCCGCCACCTCCTTCACCAGGTGCCCAGTCAGCCGCGCCTCACTGGGGTCATCCAGGGACTTGATATCGATCCGATTCTCCTTCATGAACCCGTCCAGGTCCCGGTACACCCTCAGGTATTCCTGCGCCTGCACGCTGTCCTCCTTCGCCTTCCCGCCCCCGGCAGATTCATGCGTCCCATCGCTCACCCCGCTGTCCGCCTGCGCACCCTTCCCCACTTCCCTCACCCCCGCCCTCAGCCGCTGCAGCTCCGCGTCCTTCTCCAGCAGGTCGCGCTCCAGCTGGCTCATCCGCTCCTCGATCGCCGCCTTCTCGGCCCTCACCACCTTGAGCTCATCCACCCTGCTGGCCAGCTCCTCCACGTTCTGCTCCAGCTCCAGCGCCTTGGCCTTCTTCCGCTCCCTGTACCTCTGCTGCGCCTGCTTGTTCAGCATCTGCTGCCGGGGCGTCCTGTGCCTCGCCCTTTTCCCCTTGGCACCCTCCCCGCCACCGCCCACGAGCGGTCCAGCCAGCGGCCCACCCCCCTCCATCTGATTTCCGGCCAGCCCGCCGGACGAGCTCAGCCCATTGCCAACCAGCCCCCCGGATGAGTTGAATCCATTCCCCGCCAAATTTCCCGAGGAGCTCAGCCCGCCGGAACCGAACGCCCCCATGTAGCTCTGGCCGGATCCCACCCCCTCAACCGCGAACCCGCCGTGCGCGCCGGGGCCGCTGTGCGCGCCGAAGGCACCCACGATCTCCGGCTCGGCGTCCATCCTCCCCGGGACGCCGAAGCCCGCCATCCCTCCGCCGTTCGCAAACCCGCCCGCGCCGATCATGCCCTGCGGCGCCGGGGGGCCCTGCATCGCAGGCTGGCGGGAGAACGGGCTAGCCTGGGCCAGTCCGTCCTGGTCCAGAACGCCCGGCACGCCAGAACCGAAAGACTGGTCGTAGGGCCCCAGATCGGACAGCCCAGGGTGGCCCTGATGCGGCATCCGCCCCGCCACGTTGCAGCTGGAGTCGCTGGAGGTGGGCGGCTCGAGCTTGCCGCCCATGCCGGGCACCTGGGGCGCGGCGGCCGGTGGCGGCCGGTTGCCGATCGCGGGGCCGGCCGTCTCGAGGTGGGACACGTACTCGTCGAAGAAGCCATCCACCTGGTACAGCTCCTCCAGCTCCATGCTGGGGTTGCGGTAAAAGGCGTCGTCGCCGCCCATCATGGCTGCCACGCCGTCCCCCGGCCCAGGGCACCAGCCCTCGGCGCAGGCAAACTGGCACCTGGCCGAGTGCAAAAGACGCGGAGAACCGCCTTCCCACCCTCTTCGCTCCTCGTGCCTCGCCTCGGCCACGGCTTCGCCAAATTTTCGGCCCCAATCCGGCAACTTTGGCCGCAAACAAGCGCTGCTTTCTGCTCCAGTCCGCAGCGGAAGCCCTTCACCAAGGCTTAGCGGGGCGCTCGCGGCTTCTCGCTGTCGGGCGGGTCGCTCGGGATTGCCCGCCGGGCGATTGGTCGGAGGCTTATTGGCGCTATGGCGAGTGCCTCCCCCGCCCTTTGCGGATGGGGCCCAGTCTGACACCCGGGGCCCAAACCCGCCGACTCACCGTACTGTTCGCCCTGCTGTTCGTGACTGGGCCGCGGGGGGATGCGCTGTAATGCCATTGTGTGAGGAGGGATGACAGGCGCTCCAGGCGCCCAAAGTACTGGGCCAAAGTACTGGTGGTAGGCACTGGGTCCGAAGCCCTTGCGAGGCCAAAGTACTGGCGCGCGGACGTGGCCCCGCCCTGTTGGAGGCGCTTTTGTGGATGTCAAGTGGAGTGGTGCGGTGATGATGCGAGGGGCAGTGACGCATTGATGTGACCTTGACTGGGCCGGAAGTGTACTTCACAGGAGTGCCATCAAATCCCGGAGTCACTCGGCTGGAATAGAATAATGTACTGGGCGCGTGGGTGTGGTCACAAATGTGTGCCACGTTTGTAGTGTGTTTGTCACGCCGGGCGCTGTGCATCGTGACGTGAGGCTGTGACCGGATTGGGGTTCCTGAGGGAAGCCGCCTGGGCAGGTCCAGTACTTTACGCCATCAGGCGTAAAGTACTGGCGAGCGGCAGAATTGGGGTGGCCGTGGAGCCACGGCCAGGAAGGCGTGTCTGTCGGGTGCCGAGGGGAGCCGCTCAGCGGGCGCTGGTCCAGTACTTGACGCCCCGCGGCCCAACGCCCAGCGTAAAGTACTGGGCGAGCGGCAGGTTTGGAGAGGAAGGGTGGGCGCGCGGTCGTGCACAGACTTGGCATTGTCGAGTGTTGCGGAGGGCTGCCGCTGCTCCTCGCAGGCGGGTGGCGCCCGCAATGCGTTGATACGAGGGTACCGTATGTCGACCATCAACTGTGGGGGCGATCTTCTTTTTCTTTTTTTTCATCCCAGAGTATTACGTCACATTTTAGCGTGCTTTGGTGCTGTTCAGTACAGTGAACCTGACAAACGACTGGCATAGTGACGCTCGGTTCGAGGTCTCGACCCCAGCACAATAATGCCATCGTTTGTCATGTTCACTGTAGATTGTATGGGATGACGTCAGAGATGGGATCGCGTAGGAGGCAGATATCATGTTGGAGGCAGGTAGGGGCCCAGGCCAATCACTGTCATGTCAGTGTGTCACCGACACATGCAAGGACGCCTCATGATGTCCATGTCCCAAGCGTCAAAGCCCGCTGTGGGGCCAAAAGTCAACGCTTGAGAACGTGTGGACGTGTGTGTGAATGCTTGCTTGTGGGGTTGCGAGGTGATGGTGCGCCGAAGAGGATCCAGAACTCATTAAATTGGCTGCAAGGGCAGCTCCAAAAGCGTGGCGCGAGTCACAACTCATGACCACAGTTCTTCATTGCCGTGTCTTCCGTGAAATTCTGAATCACGAGGGTGCCTTCTGTCATTGCTGCATGACTCTAAGAGCACGACACAATCGTTAAGCTTGTTAAATGCAATTCGTTGGTTTGAATTCATCCAAAGTTTTGGGAGATATCAAGGCAGCGCAATATAAACGGAAATTATTTATTATATAAATATTATATTTGAGAAAATTTGTTGTTCAAGATTCTGGAAAATCTCTGTCAGACAGTTAACGATCGTGCGATGTGCATGACTACGTGACATTACGTAACGAGAGCGCTGCGCACACTGTGCGCTGCGCAGCGCACGTGTGTTACATTCCCGGCTCCTTCCCACCATTTGAGTCGAGACAGCCACACTTTGAGGCCGTCTTGCCAGTCTTCATGAATGTACGTCACCAACACCTATGATTTTCATCACGAAATGGACGTCATTAAATTCTGTAGATTCACAAGTTCGTTTTGATCGACCACGCCGGCCGCATCTGCAGGCAAGTGGGCGCACGCGATGCGCCAATTCCAGCAGCCACTCCGGTTCGTTGAGCCTTATTCTGGACACTGCCACGGGAATATTCTGCGGACAATGCAATTCTGATCAATGAAACTGATCCTATCCTACCATTTCGACAGGGAACGCCACCCACAACAACACCCTCTACACCAACGTTGATCACCGCACATCGCTCACCACAGCCCGCTCATCAGCGCAACTCCGCCATCCCACTCTCTGCATGCACTCCCATCATCACCCACCAGCGGCAATGCCAAACCCCCTCCTGGGACGAAAATGTGCTTACAGCCCCACTGTTTTATAGCACTTGCTCGTTCCAGATCTTCGTGAAAGATTGGCACCGCTGTGTCCCTCAAGGGCAATTTCAAGCAAAGGAAATTGCCCTGGCCTAAAACCCCGTTTCCTGCCACTGCTTCCCAGGACCCCGTTTTAGGAAAATGGTGCAATGCGCAGTTACTGTACTTTATTGGGCTGCATTGTACCACTCTTGCCCGAAAGTGTGATTTGTACAAATCTTTCAGAAAGAGCTAGACGGCCCACCTAATTCTCACCCGCCACCCCCAGTTGTATCCGACCGGAAGTGGTAAACGTGGGGAGCCAGGTCCGCCAGCCACTCAGGCTTGATGGCGCATACGTCACGCATGCTGAAGACGCCGCTGCTGTCCTGGCTGACGCTGTTGAAGACCAGCCAGGGGGAGCGGCAGAGGAACAGCACAGAGGAGGGGTGGACGCGCAGCTTGGCCGGGGCATCTGGGCAACCACAACGGATCAGAGCATTGACGAGCGGATGGGCGAAGGGCAAGCACAGAGAATTTGAAAAACTAGCAGAGAATTGCGGTGCCCAACTGCAATGCCGTTTCGACGCTAAGTGACGCCACCATAGTGATTGAGATGGCATGAGAGTTGCTGTGCTTGCACCGATTGGTGTCACATTGCATCGCAGTTAGCATCGCAGTTTCCATCGCAAAAACGTCGTTTCCTGCTGGCGATTGATCTTTCGTCGCAATGACCGAAACGATCGAGGGACTGATTGACCGAGCAATGCGCAGGGGGATGAAACTGACGGATCAGGGTGTGGATCAGCGCGCAGGTCAGCCAGCAGCCAAAGAGCAACTTATTGCACCGACTGTTCGATCGATGAGTACATGACAATACCGGTGAATATGCACGTCAATGTATGTGCATGTGCATTTGTATATCAATGTACGTGTACTACAGTATACCAAATAGCAACCATTGTAGTATATGATATTAACAATCAATAATACGAATGCCTGGTCACTTATCCGAGCAGTCAATCGACTAACCACAGGATCAATCAGCAAGTCCATCCATTTATTTATCAAAGCCAACATCCCATTTTTGCATCAAAACACCCATAGAGATTCCAATACAAAGCGCATGAAAGCCACCACAAGTACGGCATGGTGTCAACCGTCCCCCTCACAAAAAGGGATGGATGAGCGATTACTAATCTCGTCACTCACCTCCCGACGCGGCCCTCGTGAGTCTGTACACGCGCGTCTCGTGGCCCATGGCGCTCACATCCATGCCTTGATACTGCACGGCGTTCATGCACCAGCCCCACGCGAAGGCCCTCTGAACGGGCTCCATGTCCTTACCGCGCGAAGTCATTGGCACGCCAATCCTGCGAAGGTGGCTGACCAGCTGCCTGTGGGCATGACAGTAGGGAAGTTGCTTTCAGCAAAATGCACTACGTTGGTATATGTACTAAGCGCACAGCGTTGGTATATGCACTCCTTGTATGGGGGGCGCCAGAATTTGAGCTGAGTTTACAAGGCGCCATCTCGTCTGAGCGCATGGCTCATGGCCGACACGGTTTTTCGAAGAAGCACCACTACCGGAGGAATGCCTATGTATGGGAGATATGGGCCACCAGCAGGCACCTCGACATTTCAATTACTGTAATTGAGGCTCACTGAAACGACATCTCAAATACGTCAACAGTCCAGTGCTCGATGCTTGTCCAAGTTGTGCTTGCAGAGCTTGCATGCATGTAGAACATAGCGCATTGCAGACCGCCTGCCTTTGACAACAGAGCTCCACCCGAACGGCAGAAGCATTCATACAAACATGCCGCCGAAAAACAAATATGTCGCCAACAACAATGGCAACGCCGGCAGGACAAGAAACCCCGCAGATCATGGCGTTGGCGGCAACTGACCCCCTGATGTCCGACGCTCGCAGCAGCGCCCTGTGGCTCACGAAGTTCTTCTCACACCACTGCCGCGACCTGCCCTCCTGCTCCCATGCGCGGTGCACGTTCAAGTAGGTATTGAGGTCGCCCTCGGCCACCTGCGGCGCAGTGCACCGAGCGGTCAAATGCGGCACAGCGCTGGGCAAAAGACCACCTGGGAGCGTCGCCTGACGAGTGACGGTTGCCAAGATAATCTGGGAAGATATTTCGCAATGGTGTTCCACACATACTTGCCAGTTGCTATTTTTTGCAGAAAGCTGGCACACCCTGGCATGTTTGGCGTTGATTGGCTGCCTGGAGATGTGCGCAGGCGCTGTGAAACCAGCAAGTATCCATAAAAAAGGCTTTCAGACAAATGGGCCGACAAATGTACTGGCACGCGTCTGGTGGTTTCGCGCTTCAAGCAGTCGCACATTTGCGCAGCCCTTCCTTCGCAGTGCAACAAAGCGCATTTGAGCTCATTGTTACTGGAACTAGAAATAAAACGCACACGCTAAATTTCAGTCACAAAAGCGGGGATCAGGAACCACCCTTCAGGATACGGGGGCACACACAAATACACCACCGCGCAGAGCCTTATACACTTTGTGTTTCAAGTACCAAGTTTTGCGCCTTATACGCCATGCACCGCAGCTTCTCAAGACACGATAAAGATCGCTTCCCCACCGAGAATCGTTTCTTGGCCCTCTCCAGCGCCTTGATCTCCCCCCGCATCGTCGTCCACACGCTGCGGATGCTCAGAATCGAGGCGATGGTCGTCGCCTCCTCGGTGCATCCGAACTCCGCCGCCGCCAGCAGCGCCTTCGACAGGGTCGGCTCGAGGGGCAGCTCGGACATCATCAAGCCAGTGGGGCGCGTCAACCTGTTGAGGTTCAGCGAAAAAATGTGGCAGCTCTTGAGTTCCTTCGTAATCGAATTCTGGCAAATGTAGGCATACTCCATTGTTTGTTGACATACCAATAAAGAAACCAAAACTCATAACATGAAATGAGAATTAGAATTTCGGCATTTGCTATTTGGCGTGGACCAGAAATCCCAGCGACAGCTGGACTTTGATGTTTTCTGCTGCTCCCAAAATTTTCAAAATGTTAGAAACCCTGTTTCTGTAAAAAGTGGTACAAGCTCCGAACTTCCCTTGCGGTACATTCTTGTACCCACTTCCTTTGAAAAGAAGTTACATATTATATGTATTATATATTCTTGTATATTCTTGCACATTCTCATCCATTCTTTTGAAAGGAAGTTGCATACTGGCACTCCGAACAACATCGGCAGTCCAAAGGAGCGCGTCCGCACCTGGCGTCTTCGTCCAGCGCCCCCAGCGCGTGCAGCAGCTCGAGGGATCGGATGACCGCCTCCGCCGCTGGGGCGTCGAGAAATTTGAACCGCATGATATTCTCGATCCCCAGCGCCTTGAGCTGCAATACCACACCCGCAAGGTCGCTCCGTTGAATCTCGGGGACGCTGGCAGCCATCTGTGAAGTGGCAAAGGAGCACAGGTTAGACCGATTGGCTTTGCTAGCGCTTTGCTGTGTCTTCGAGTTGGGTACAGAGACACAAAAGGTGGCAATGTCAAAATCTCACCACCTGTAAATTGCTGACTGATTCAGCAAGAAAAACGGTACAATGCCTAGTGTCTTCTAAGGCACTCTAAAGAGTACCTGGTTGTACCAAGTTCGAACTGAAAGGGTGTTTGCTCTGTTTGGAACAGAGCGCACACTGGGACGCACCACACTACAACGTTCTTGCAGCTCTGCGAACTATGTTGATTTGTGGATGCAGGATAGCAAAGGAGAGTGGAGAACAACGGCAGCAAATGTTGTGATCAAAGAACTAAAGGACCTGGCACTGACACGGTCCGGTATACAATGCGCAAGATAACCTTCGTCAACAGTATACAATACACCGAGGGCATATTTTCAGCGGCTGTCCTTCATTGGGGAAGTTATGTCATCCCGGTGCACAGCCGGAGGCAGCAACTTGGAGTACAAACTGCAGTATTTCATTTTGTGTTGTGAATGTCATTTCATTCCCAGAATCGTTCTGATGTTGTCAGAAAGATGTGGAAAGCGCAAAACGATGCTCGTTCAAGACGCAATGGAACGAAACTTTCTCCTGCCAGCCCTCACCAGAGTGTCGAAGTCGTCCTCCATGCACAGTCGGAAACAGTAGCCTGGCCGCACCCTTCCTGCTCGCCCGGCCCTCTGCGCGGCTGACGCCTGCACAAATGAGCTGAGCGCGATTATCAGCATTTCGCGCGGCACCGTATCTGCACGCCGTTCTCAACAATTTTTGCCGTTGTCAGTACATCCGTGTTACTGCTGTATTCACTGTCAGCGTCACAACCGCACGAGTAGATCTGCTGAGTAGGGCGCTCGTGCATCTGCAACACTGTGAGGCTGTGCGCTGGCGTGTATGCCATTGGCGTGGCATCGAACCAGGGGTCCCCAGCAAGTAATGCGCACTTCCCTTGTGGCCCAACCCAGACAGCGCTGCTAATCAACTGGCGCCGGTGACGTCAGCATAGTTCATTTGCGGACCCCAGCTGCACGTTAACCACTTGCAGGACTTTCGTGCCACCAATGGGCGCGCTCTTTGCTCCTTGTTTGCTCTGTAGATATTGTGGCAATTATGTAATGTATTACAATAGGGGATGTAGACTCATCACTCTTGCATCAATTTGACACGACCAGGCAAGGTCATGCTAGACTTCAGACTGATGCAAAAGCGCTGCTCTTCAAAGTCGAGGCACTGGATGCGACATTGTGACACTCAGCAGTGCAAAGAATACGGCGATGCATCATGAATGACTGTCGACATTGTGCATCAACCTGGACGGTTGCTGCCCAACAAGCGGTTTAGAGCAATTTTCCTGCCAATGCAGTGTATTGCACACTGTACAGTACACAGTGCATGACCCCCAACACATTGCATGGTATGCCAGCAATGCAGATAACAGGAGCCTTCCACCCTGTCTGCCATCCTTGCCTTTGAAATTGGCGTGACTATGAGGGAGTCAAGTCCGTTGATGGGGTTGTAACACCTTGTCTTCATGTAACAAGAGTCGATTACGTAAACCACTCCCTCGATGGTCACCGAAGTTTCTGCAATGTTCGTCGCCACGACCACCTTGCGGTGGCCCCTCTGCGGGGGCTGGAGTGCTTGCATTTGGTAGTACCCGGGGAGGCCTGCCAGCGGCAATAAAACACTAAATCATTTGCCCAAAATGAAAGAAAATTGAAAGAAATAGACGAATAGAATAAGAAGGCGCATTTCTGTGGTCTATAGAATTTGGACGGACTGTTGGTTGGAACAATTTATGATTGGGTCTTGCCGTTAGCGACATCAAATCACCAACTGCTCCAGGAGGCTTGAAGATATAAGTTAAAGTAAGATAGTTAATATAGATTAAAACCTACAGGCCTAGCAGCATGTTCTAGAGAACATGCAAAGTCACTATAACGTGTGCCAACTTGAGAAGGATCGCACAGTGTGGTGGCTGGAGTGCTGTGATTGGCCCTATTCAATACCCAGGTGGCAGGAATCAAGCGGCACGCTGCCATTATTAATATCATAATTAACTATTATTTATAAATGACATTTATTAATTATCAATCATTTGATACAGTGTTACTCGTTGAGCGATTGCGTATAGACTACTGATGGTCGCTTACTCTGTGCTGAATTGGTTGCCCCAGCTACCAACCCGAGACCTCATCTTAACAGCTGGACCACTTGGCGTTGGCAACATCCAGTACATGATCCCACAACGAGTAACTGGTTCAACTGCCAGCGAATAGGGCATGGCATGTAATTCGGGTTTTGCAATTCCCAATTCCTGATCAGCACTGCGGCCCAGAATGCAGGACACGTCAACTCTGTGAAGTGTTCCCCTTGTTTCCAACAACCAATGTTATTACAAACAACAATATTATGTCAGTAATAAATAAGGGTTGCAGGTTGAATCAAAAATCAAGCAGGACACGAAGCCAGGAGGACCCAAGAGGACAAGGAGCCAATAGCGACAGCAGCAATGCTACCAAATCAATAGAATAGAGCGCAGGACAATGGTGAAAGTGGCAAGATTGTCAATTTTCGATCACCTGAGTACAGAGCGACTGGCTGCAGTTTCAGCGACAGCCTCGCTTGCGCCAGGTGTCTGGCTTCCTCCCTGAGCAGCTTCACGGCAGCTTCGCATTCATCTTCCCCGGTCATGAATATCAAAATGTCGCCGGGCTCATTCCTCTGTCAGCCGCGTCAAGAACCGGTTAGTCATCAATTGGCCTCAAAATTGATGGTAACGAACAGAATCAAAACACGGAGTGTCCCCGCGACGGTTGTGAAAGTTGGCAAAACACCCTCTCAGCCCCATTGGGCACAACAAAGTACTACTATGTACATTGTATGCACTGCTACTTTGTTATGCGCAATGGGCGTGTGTACCCCACAGATTTTGACGGAGCAGGTACTTGAAGTGCATCCAGGGCTCGCTTCTCTGGCAGCCACACGGCAGGAATTCGAAATCAACTAGTGATGCGCATCGCCAACATAAAGTACCCGGGTTTGCGTATTTCGCGGAATTTTGAGCAGTTGCTATGGACACCCAAAGCGTGAGAAGTGGCGAAGAATTCTGCGTCCCTGATGCAGTCACCAACAGTGAAAGCATCGAGCACACAAAACACACCGAATTCGGAGAATTGCGTGGGAAAACGGCACAAACGCGTGGTTGATGTTATGTAATTTCCACAATTATGTAACATCAACCATGCGTTTGTGCCGTTCGCCATGAATGGACAATAAGCCTGTTCTGCTGAAGAACAAATCAACGAGCGAATCAAGGCCTCGACTCGAATCAACGATTCGTTGCGATTTTCGTCATCAGCAGCTAGCAAATTTATTCATCCGTGCATGGAAGTCGTCAGCACTTCGAACTGGTGCAACCCCCCTGCAAGGGCACCAGGGATGGGACTGTGTACCAGCATTGACTACGCCTCATGAGTGCTTTCAAATCACAGCGCCCTTGCAGTACTACACAGTGCTTAGCATGTACCTTCAGTTGCACTTCCTCCTATACCATAAATGCTGATAATCCTGGCCAGCGTTTTGCTCCACATCCTTTGGTGTCTGTTGCAAACTTTACGCATGAAATTTCTTGTTCGGTTGTTGGCCATACTCTGGCGGGTACTAAGCTACCGCAACGCAAATTGCAGAGCTGGAGGCTGTGAATATCGATTGATGGATTGGTGCGCGATCATGGGCTGCATTGCCCAACATGCCCAACTCGCCTCATGGAAGAAGAAAGCCTACCACAGCGGAAACTGCAGAGCTGGAGACTGTGAATATCGATTGATGGATTGGCGCGCGATTATGCACTGCATTGCCCAACATGCCCAATTTGCCCCATGGAAGAAGAAAGCCCACCTTGTGGATCTCCACAGCTGTCTCGACTGCAGCTTCCACATAATTTGCCGCCGGGTGCTCATTGTAGAAAACCTGCAGAGGGCACAAGATACATCACCAAATTTGATGCCGGCCAGGTGGTACACATCCTTCACATATATGCACCGTTCTCAACTGCTGAATCTTTACCGTTGGAGCCAGCCAGGTTCTGTGCAGACTCACAACACATAGTTGTGAAATTCAACTCAGCCATCAAAGTGGCATGGAACTGCTGGAAAAAAATCGAGGCTGTGCTGGCTTGCCTGCACAGGATATGATCGCCCCGTTACGGAAATGATGACAGGCGCCTTGTAGTCCCAGATCTCCTGCCCGGGCACCCGGACCGTTCGAGTGTCAAAGTACTGCGCCAGCCTCTCCGCCTCCAGCGTGGCGGATGCGATGACTAGTCGCAAGTCCTGTCGACGAGCTTGTATCTGGGCGTGGCAGATTCAAAGGCTCAGTTCTCGAAAGCTAGCACTCGAAACGAGGACGAAAATGGATGTCTCGATTTCGGGATAGAAGTTCTGGTAGCCCTCTGCACAATGGCCACCTGCGTGTCTTGGCAGTTTGCTCGTTTACAGCGCGGCAGACTTGAAATATTCAAACTGAAAATCAGGAGGCAGAATTTTCAGGGTTGAATTCAAGGCTTGAGATCGAGTGGTGGCACTAAATTCCGCCATTGAACAGCACTGCATTCACAGCCTCCAAAGCAACATTTTGGCGTTTGCATCGCCTGACTAGGTGCTCCGCGCGCTAGCGCACTTCACCCCAATGCAACTATCTCAGAGTGCTTCAACGCAGTCCACTGCGGCTTGGTTCGCCCAGTCGTATTGTTGAAGTGCTCAGTGCTCCTCCATGTAGGCTCACCTTTTTCAACAAACCAAGAAGGACATCTGATGCTAAACTCCTCTCATGAGCTTCATCGACAATTATGACACTGCAGCAACACGGACCACACAAATTTTTTCAGATTGGGCCACTCTTCTGGCTGTAATGCAAGCGACCAGAAGCCATGACACGACACATTTTCGAGCACACTTGGCACAATAAGATGGTGCAAACAATTGTGCAATAAAATGATGCCATCAAATCGGTCCAGCGATAAGTATTCAAAAATCAGTACAATAGCATTACTAAATTCAACTCCTTGCACCCACTCTGCACTCATAGGAGTTCTGGTATAGGGTGTTCTGAGGTTCGGGGTTGATAAGGTTATAATAACACAAGCTGCTTCTTTCCAAACTCAAGTCCTTACAACCCATGCCAGCAGTTTGAAATGGCGAATTGCAGGTTCACTCTCGCAGGCACTGGTCATGACAAGAACTGGGTGAAAGACCCAGTGCTCAATATTTCGTCTGAATACCTTGTGCATCCAAAAGTGCATCAATGATGCACCTATCCAGGCAAAGTTAGTAAGGAGACCAAAGCAACAAGTACCCGTCATGACCCAAAAGTCGTTTCTGGATCGCTCTTGAGCAGTGCTCAGTAGAGGGTCATGTCCTCACCTGTACTTTGTCAGTAGGGGGTCATCCAACATTTGTCGAAGGAGCATGCCGTCCGTCATGAACTTGATACGAGTCACTCCCTGGCCGTCAAAGCACACGTTGTTCAATCAGTTGAACATCATATACTGACTTGCCACACAACCAGTACTCGTATTTCATCATTAACATCTGCAGTCTTGTGCACCCATGCTGCAGCCATTTTTTACTCCGCAGCATCAGTGCTGCCCTTTAATTCTTGTGTTGTTTCCAGCACATACTCGAGAAAGACCCTTGCACCGATGTTTTGCACCTGGAGTACTTTGCTGTCTTGTATCGCCACTTCACCATGATTTTGTATGACACACCATGGATTACATAAAGGACAAAACTTAATCAAGTCGCTGATGCATTCCTGGTGCATCAAACTGAGTGATCAGTGCCATACAAACACTGTTCAAAAACAGGGACCCACCGGTGTGGAGACGTCCTCGAATCGGATGGAATACCCAACTTCATCTCCAAGCCTGCAAAACAGACTCCCATTTGAAGCCATGTAGCAACATGACAGCGCCAATGTGCTGCAACAAATGTGCTGCCGCAATGTGTCACCAGGCTGCATCATTGCGCAGATACATATTGCAAGAACATTGGTCATGATGATCAGTGCATCTTCAATCAATGTTGACGGGTTACACATGAGACATACAGATCCCAGCACCGGCACCCTTGTCCCCACACCCTGCCCACAGTTTGTCGTTGGTGCCACTCTGCACTGCATGCTAATCACGGCATGCTCAGGCAGTTTCGCATCACACTGTGAAATGAAGACCCCCGGCTGAAAACAACTGCTCCTCAAATTTTCCAGATCCCAGCACCGGCACCCTTGTCCCCACACCCTGCCCACAGTTTGTCGTTGGTGCCACTCTGCACTGCATGCTAATCACGGCATGCTCAGGCAGTTTCGCATCACACTGTGGAATGAAGACCCCCGGCTGAAAACAACTGCTCCTCAAACTTTCCAACTATTCTTTTCTTTGGAAGGGAATGCACACTGCTGGACGCAATTCCTTTCTGCTATTGAAAAAATGTTCAACAATGGGCAAGGTGTAGTAGCCACTCAGGCTCTTTGGCACACCCTGTCCCACTGCCCATGGTGCAATGAATCTCCTCTGTGTCCACACACACATAGGCACCTACGGCCTGTGGTCTGGTGGGATTTGGTATGGAGATGAAGAACTTGGAGGCAGAATTGTATGCCCTCTGTGAATGGATGTATTCACTTGGTCGCCTTGATGATTGAGCAGTGCTTTGTATGCGATCAAACCATAGACACACCTGCCCCTTCCCCGTTCCCGTAAACCACCACAAGCCCAACCTTATTCATGGGGCTTACCTTTGAGGTTTATTCAAAGCACTGCTGCATTGTGAACTTTGAACAGCAAATTCTCTCACAGTCTTTCTGTACTCTGTGTGATTCGCTGTGTGGACAATGCTGGCATGTTCACGGCTGGTTTCAATCTGCGGCCCATTTGGAGATATGCTGGCACAGATGAAGAGTTTAGTCTTGGTGCTCCATGTATGCGATGAATGACAGCAGCAGGGGCACATGTAGTTTCTTGATGCCTCTGTTGCCCACTTGCATGCCATCTCCCATCCAAATGGACAGGATTTGAAGATGAGCACGCACCTAGCGATGCTCTGGTGCTGGTGCTCCATTTAATCCGATCAGCAACACCAAACGCCACAGCCACCACTGCCCAGCACCCCCAAACCCGCAGCCTCATTCCCCCTGGGCCCCCAACCCACCCACCCCAGGCGCCCACCAGGCCTCATCTGCCCAACACTGCCAGCTCAGTGAAAGTGCTCGCTCCATCATATTGAGACAAGCATGCAAAAGAAAATTGGAAATGGATATCGGAATTGGAAATGGAAATCGACCAGGGCTATTTGGTGGCAAGAATGTGGATCAGGGCCTGGGTTGTCATGTCGTGGCAAGCATGCAGTTCCATTTCCATAACAGAATTAGGTCGGTGGCCTGCCTCTTTGTTTTGTGACAAGCATGCAATCAGAGCACTTGAACCAAGACGGCCTTGTGATATTGTGAAAAGCATGCATCACTGGAATTGGCCCAGGGATTGCCTCTTCATGTTGTGAAGAGTATGCAGCCTCTTCATGTTGTGAAGAGTGTGCAATGAATGCCATTGGACAGGATTCGTGTTGTCATGCTGTGGGAAGCAACGGCTTTGGACCAGGGCATCGACAGAATTGAACCAGGGATTGCCCCTTTACGTTGTGACAACCATCAAATCAATCGATGGACCAGGGCGCCCCCGTTCATGTTGTGACAAGCAAGGGACCCGGACCAATGCATCAACGGAATTGTACCAGGGGTTCCCTATTCAAGCCGTGACCACCCCATCAACAGATTGAGACCAGGGACTCCCCCTCACGTCGTGACGGCCATCCAATCAACGCACAAGCGAATTCAACGAATTCGACAAATTCAACGGTATCGCCCCCCACCTACACCCCATCTCCCCACCTGTGACAGGCATGCAATCAACAAATTGGACCAGAAGTGGTCGTGTCACGTAATGACAAGCATCCAACCAACGGAGTCGGACCGGGCCTCGCCCCGTCATGTCGTGGCAAGCGCCCGGTCGACGGAAATTTTCTTTCCTTTTCCTTTCCAAGGCGTTGCGCCCCATCGCCCCACCTGCACCCCATCTCCTCGGCCACTCTTCCCGCCACCGCCATCGCCGCCACCCGCCGCGGCTGCGTGCAGCCCACCATCCTGCCCCCCTCCGCCCACCCCGCCTCCACCAGGTACTGCGGGATCTGGGTGCTCTTGCCGCATCCCGTCTCCCCCACGACCACCGTGACCCCGTGCGATTCGATCGAATAGAGCAGCTCGGAGCGCAGGGCGGAGATTGGCAGGGCCCGGCGCTGGTCGCGGATGGACAGGCGGTCGTTTTTGTTGTAGTGGGGCGGGGGCGGGGCGTTTTCTTCTGCGTCTGTGTCGAAGGAGAGGCCGAAGGCGGCAGGGGACAGCGCTCCAGGCTTGAGGAACGCCATACAGCGGGCTGAGTCATAGTGGCGAGGGCGGGAATAAATATCGAGGAAATACCGAAAATATGGTATCGATACGTTGATATAATGTGTATGCATATCGATATTACGTCGATAGCACGGCATCGATTTGTCAACACACGGTATATGATAAGGGTGGTGTGAACATCTTTGGCGTCCGTATCGAAGGAGAGGCCCAAGGCAGCAGGGGAGAGTGCGCCAGGCTTGAGAACACTAATGAAAACAGGCCAAAATACTGTAAGATATTAAACCCTTCGGCATGGCAACGTAACGCCTGGCCATTTTTGCGGAGAAAATGATATAAATAGTGACGCAAATCTTGACCTTTCTGTGCGGAGCAACGTGAAAAAAATAACGTTCTGAAAGAAATTTGCGGAGCAAAGAGCGCAAAAAAAAAACGGTGAAATTTGCTGATGCTGAAGGGTTGAATATTTTACGGTACATGGTTTTGCAAGTCGTGTCAAAATTGTGTTAAATCGCGAATTTAACGTATGAAAAAGGGAGCAAATCCTGTAGTAACGATTGAGTGAGTGTACAAGATATTAATACGCTTTCACACGGCTTTACATGATTATTACACGGTTCGAAGCCGTGTATTTTCACTTGCGGAAACGTTGCAGAGTGGGGTGAGCCATCGCGGGGAACAGGGGAACAAATATGGGCGAGCCAGTGTCGATACATCTTTACCGAAATTGATTGGCGAGGGTGCATGTAAATACCGACATCACAGTATTGATACATCAATTCGGTCCATGATGGAGCGGACAGGGATGAGTCATGATGGGAAGGCGCAGTCATGTGCTAATGAAGAGCATCGATACATCGATACGATATCGTATCGATGATGGCTAAAAGCCCCTCCACCCAGTCATGGGCCGGTCTGTGATTGGGTGGAGGTGGATGATTCTTGATGAGCACGGCGTGAAGGAATGTCGATGAAGCGGCGTCGATGCATGATATGGTGTGTGATATCGTGGCGGGAGGGTGAGTCATGGTGGGGAAGGCGAGAATACACGCCAGTGATGCGCTGTCGATGCATCGATATGGCATGTGGTGGGGTAGGCGTGATTGCTGTTTTGGACGCCCATTAACGTTTTCCAAGCGAAGTTGTAGTTGAGTGAATGTGCTGCGCAGCCTTGTGGGGGGCACCCTCTCCAATTTTTCCATAAACTGTTACAATGGTGATTGGTGCGCTGTGCTGGGCTGCCACCAATTGTTGCCCGGGAGCCCATGGACGACTATGAACGACGGTGCTGGTAACATGTATCGTATATGCCCCATATATCGGATGTATCTCCATTCAAGCGCGGACACTGAAGCAGCCTCTGCACATGCACAGGCACCAACGAGGTGGTGGCAGCCTGGAATCAACTTGGCATCAAGCGCAACAAAATTGGAGCAGCGACAAACTGTCGCCGTCATGGGACAAGGGCATGTGATGGATTGAGAACCGTGCGTTGATGCAGCGGGGTGGCAGGCTTGGATTTTACGCCATAAAAACTAACCATATTTACGTTTCTACTCGTAAAAATAGTTTTACGTTTTTACGCATAAAAATGCGTAAAAATACGTAAATACAACGTAAAAACTGCCTGGTGTACATAAGAACAGTATATACAGAGTTACACAGTCCGGAGAGTGGCAGCCAGACGCCTTGGAACGTGCAGAAAACGAGTTTTTGTTAATCGCCGTTATCGCCCTTGCCAGGGTCGAGGTAGACATTGCGTTGCGGGTGCTGGAGATGGCGGAGGACTCATCATGGTACGCCACTTTCATCGTGTAACCTACGTGTGACAGGGAGCCGTAAAAACAGGCCCTTTTGCAAATTTACGTTTTTACATGTAAAAACGTAAAAGTAAAAATGTAAAAGTAGACGTAAAAACCAAACCTGCGGGGTGGGAAGCAGCGTGTCTAAGGGTGGGCTGTGGAAAGGAATGGAAAGGAATGGGTGACAACCACGAAAATGGGAAAGTTTGAGTGGATTCCAAAGAACGCACATATGTTGACGATGAATTGAGAACGAGTTATGAAGATGCACTTTTGTCCTGAATTACAAGACCAATTTCGATTTGGGAGTTGTACTGCAGCCAAACGCTTGTCACTTTTCAAACTTCAGCTACAGCACCAACTGTGACGTGCTTGAAAGTTCAGCGCATGTGGCAGTACCTGGTCCCGTGCCACTTCAGATCCAATGGGCGACACGCCACGTTACGCCCAGGCACAGCAGAGACCACCGACGTGCGCTCCGGGGAAATTTCACACTCCATTCCATATTCAATTATTCCATTTCACACTTTATTCTTGAAAAACAAATCCCAGATTAGAGTGTCCCTTCTGACTGAAGTTTTCGCGAGCGCATGCAGCACCCGCTTGATGGGGAACCCTTCGACTACCCACATCCTGCCGGAACATATCTCAGGCCTGACTTGAGCCAATTGAGGATATAGCGACCAGCGGCAGCGATTCAACTGATTCGATGTGAAACCCATCGCCACCAATCACTCATGTGACAGCCAGAGAAGCTGGTGTCATCTGATAGTACCCCCAACTTCAACAGCCGTCAAGCGAAGTTCGCCTCCGCGGTCGCCGTCCCATCCGGCCATTCCAATCGCCGTCGCCGCCCGCACTGCTCCGCGACACCGACCCGTCGCACAGCGACTGGCGTGTAAGCATCAGCGGGTACACCATAACGGCATCGTGACGGCCCTTGTCAGAACAGTATCACGTGTTGGTGAGACGCGGGTGTGAGTGCCTGCGTGGCATTTATGCGCCCTCCCAGCGCATCCAACCAGGAACCCACCCCCCCTTCCGCACCCCACACCAGCAGGCCGTCCGCCGTCGGAGCCGCAGCAGGTGCGCCTGCCCCCTCGCGAGGGGCGCGGCCCTTGCATGGGCCCCGCAGTGCATCGATTTGCATGGATCCCGCCCGTCGGACCGATTCGCATGAATTCAGGCCATGGGAATCGCGGGGGAAGCGATCGCCGTGTTGCGATGGACGCGCGGGGGGGATGGGCCCGATGTCGCTGGTCCCTTCAGCCACAGGCGGCGGCGATCACTCCGTCGCGTTGTGCACCCACCGGCCGACCTTTTGCGACGTTGCCGCGCCATTAGTTCCATTAGCCTGGATGGCATGAGGAGTCGCGGGGCAGCATGGGGAGCCAGGGAGTGAGCCAAGCATGCGTTGGTGGGCTATATCATCGTTCAGCGATTTGGGTCGTGGCGAATATCGGACGGCCGGGGCGTTTCCAAGCCAGTGGGGGAGAGGCAACTAGCTTGGCGATTGCGCTGCCGTGGAGCGTGCCTTTAGCGCGGAATCGCACACGTGCGGTCCCATTGATGGGATGGACCGGAGCTTGGCAATCGCAATGTGAAACGCCGTGCAACAAGTTGGCGCAAAAGCGCACACTGGGGATGCTGGCGAGCCATTGGGGCAAGGGCCTGAAGTCTGTCGACCGCTCTGCGGAAACGGTGTGGAAGATTTTGGCGCCCGCGTCGGGACTGCAAAGATGCGCATCGGGGTATTCGATGGAAAATGTAATGTGAAACGCGGTGGGCAACCCGTGACGCGCGGCGGAGTGCAGGCGACGGGGCGGCGGCGGAGGGTCGCTCCGATGGCCATGCGCTTGGGACGCGCCGGGCGACTGCCTATTCATGGCGATTGCGCTGTGCATTGGAGGGGATTCGTGACATCTCATGCCCATCTCGTCCCTCAGAAACCATGTCCATCTTGTATCGCAGGATTCGTGTCGATTCGCATCTGTTTCTTCTCCCGGGATTCATGTGCATTCATGTTCGGTCGTGACCATTTTGTGCCCATGTGCCCTGCGCAGAGACACCATGAGGGCCGCCATCCTCATCCTGGTGCTGTGCCTGACCGCCCAGCTGGTGAGGAGCCCCCCGCTTCGATTGCGCCAGGGGCCCGTCGCGATATATGTCGACACAATGTATAGCCGTGATTGGATGCGCGGCCCTGTACGACTGGGCATCCCGTGCGCGGCAGTTTCGATACGTATCGAAACGCGCTGTGCTATGCGCCGCCGCGGCGGGGAGCGGAGAAGTTTGTGCCTGAATTGGCGATCAGAGGGACCGCATCCTCTCGCGACGTGTTGGTTCAGGAATTGGGAGCACAACAGTCGCTGTTGTCGCAATCTGTCGAGGAGTGGCGGCAGATTTCGCCGAGCGGCTGCTCGGGGGGAAGCGCACTGTGGTATCTGTCGCGAGCATGTGGATGGCGCAGCAGCCACACCCACACCCCTGGGGTCCAATTGGGCATCCAGACATGGAGTATCCTTTCGGGCGCAAGTCCCTCTGGCGCAGTGCTTTTGCCAACGCGGGCGACAAGAGCTCGTCGCTGTGTCAAACAATTGAAACACAGTACAACGCGTAATGGATATCAATTTGGGGAGCACGGAATGCCTCCAGAGTAAGTTCGATACAGAATATTATTTCGATGTAAATTGAGCCTCGATCCAAAACAGCACAGCAGTTGCTCGATTTCGCTCTGTTGAATCCGTCGGAGCATGGCGGAGCACCTTCCTTGCACTTTCGGCCAAGACCGGAACTTTTGCTGCCCGGTGTGCCGCACGGCGCGTGTGTGTCGCCCGTGTTGCTAACGAGCTGTCACGAACATCAGAGGCATTAGCCCCTGTACTTCAGCATCAGAGTGTTCATAGCAGCGCCCGATGCTGCAATACTGCGATACTACGATACTGCGATGTTGCGATAATTCGATGTTGCGGTGTTGCGATATTGCAATGATCAGCCGCAGAATTGGTGGCGTTCCGCGGATGTTGATAGGCGGCATTTTGTGGCAGGCGATGGCCGAGGACAGCCACAGCGATCTGGCGACTCTTGAAGCTGGTGCCAGCTTCACGGCGAGGAGGATGCTGAGTACGTGGCCACCAGTTTTAATATATATTTTTAATAAATTTATAAATTTAGTATGTGTGTGTGTTGGGTATATTTATAAATATATCGGAATGTTT